CAAGGTCGTGAGTTCGGTTCCCGGTACTGGAGAAAAACAAAAAAAATAAAATAAAAATAAAAATAAAAATAAAAAACAAATGGTGGAAGGGCTGTGGGGAAAAAGAAACCTTTCTCCACTGTTGGTGGGAGCGTACACTGGTGCAACCTCTATGGAAATCAGTGTGGATATTCCTCAAAAAACTAAAACTAGAAGTCCCATTTGACCCAGCTATTTCCCTTCTTGGTATCTTCCTGAAAGAATTAAAAGCATCATACCACAGCAATATACATCCACCCATGTTTATACTGGCACAGTTTGTAATAGCTAAATCTTAGAAATAGCCCAAATGTCCATCAAATGATAAATCGATAAAGAAGATGGCATTTCTCTATATAGTAGACTAATACTTTGCCATAAAGAAGGATAAGCTTGAGGCATTTCTAGCTAAATGGATGCACTTTGAGACTATCCTCTTAAGTGATATAAATTGGACACAGATGCTTAAATACCACATTGTTTCTTTGGTGTGAGAAACCAAACGTGTAAATAAGGACCAAAATGTACAATAGACATTGGAAGTGGAAAGAAAATATTGAAATGGTCAAGGGAACAGAGGAGGGGGAAAGGAAGGATGGCAAAAGAAAATAATGAGAAAAGAAGGATAAAATGGAAATAAAGCTTTGTAAATGAGGAAGTGGGGTTGAAGGGAGGGAAGAGGAATGGGAAAAAGAAGTGAAATATATCATAAACAGGTACAAATTCCTTATGATGAATGTTATCATTATGTATATCTAAAATGTACCAATCACAGTTTTAAAAAGAATGAAACAAATGATGTGAATATAAGCCCCAAAAAAATAAAATAATGCTAAGAGAATACTACAGACAACATTATGCCAATTAACTCAGCAATTTAATGGGAAAAGTCCCTGAAATGCAAGCAAACAAAGTTCATTCAAGAATTTGTTAACCTAAACAGCCCTGTATCCATCACAGCAATTGAATTTCTAGTTAAAAACTTTCTCATAAAATTAATTTTACTGGTTAATTCTACTGAATGCTTAAGGGCTTAAAATGTCAGTTTGTTTGTTTTTTTACAAACACCCAGAAAGCAAGACACACTTCTCAACCTGTCAACAAACCCAGAATCTTCCTGATACCAAAACCAGACAAAGATAGTATAATAAAAAATAAATAAATAAATAAATAAAGACAATATCCCTCAAGAACATACATGGAAAAAAGCCTACCCAAAATTTTAACAAAATAAATAAATATATAAAAATAGATACATAACCAAGTGGAGTTCACCCCAGCAAGAGTGATTTACTATTCTATCCATTAATGCTAACATTCTAAAATTAATTAAAGTAGTTTTCATAGTAAAAAAGAAAAGCCATCTGATTATCAAAGTAGCTACAGAAAAAACTTTTGACAAATGTCAACACTGATTAAAAATAATCTCAGAAAACTAAAAATAGAAAGATTTCCAGCATGATAAAAAGCATCTGTATGAAAACCTACAGATAACATCATGTTTAATGACTAAAGACTACATTCTTTCCCCTTTTGAGCAGAAGGAAAAGGTATCTGTTTTCACCACTTTTATTCAGTATGGTACTAGATGTTCTGAGCAGCTTAATCAGATTTTAAAAAAAAAGAAACAAAACACACCTAGATTGGAAATGTAGAAATAAAACTATATTGGTAGATGAATGAACATTTACATAAAAAATTCTAGAGAAGCTATACAAAGACCTGTCAAATGAGTTTAGCAAAGTTGTAAAAAAAACAATATGTTTTTTTAAAAACGTAAAACATAAAATGGTCTACAACTTCTTTAAAAATGCACCTTCAATGCACAATTCAGTGCATGATTTCAGAACTTGTTATAAAGTTACAGCACTCAAAGCAGCATAATATTGACATAAACATAAACAGAGAGAAATAGTCATACATACTGTGACTCTATATAGTCAATAGGTATCAAGGCAACTTAATAGGAAAAAGATAATCTTCTTACCAAAAGTAAGAGAGAAATGTGATACCCATATTTGGGGGACAAAGAAGGAGGAAGAGGGAAAGAAAAAAGGAAAGAGGGAAGGAAGAAGGGAAAGGGTTTACCCTTACTTATCACCAAATACAAAAATTATCTCAGAATCAGTTCTAGACCTAAATATAAGAGCAAAAACTATAAATCTCCTAGAAGAAAATATAGAGAAAATCTTAGTGATCTTGGATTTGGCAAAATTTATTTTTACCATGATACTTAAACCATAGAAGAAAGTTATGACTTCATCAAAATAAAAAATGTAGGTGCTTCAAAAGACATTTATGAAAAGGAAAAGCCAAGCCACCAATGGATAGAAAACATTTGCTAAAATATACAGCTGAGCATGGTGTCATGCATGTCATCCTAGCACTTGGAATGCTGAAGCAGAAGGATCACCATGAGTTTGAAGCCAGCCTGGGCTACACATTGAGTCTGAGGTAACCTGGACTACATAGCAAGACCCTGTCTCAAAAAAACAAAACATAGCAAGATCCTGTCTCAAAAAAACAAAAACAAAACATTTTACATATATATATATATATTTGTTATATATATATTCAAATATATATGTATATTCAACAAAGTTCTTGTATATAAAATATGTACTTGTAGAAAGCTTTTACAAAAAAAAGAAAGCTTTCACAACTTTATAATAAGACAACAACCCAATTTTTAAAATGAGAAAAAGATTTCAACAGCTTTGAACAAGTCACCAAAAAATATAGAGAGAGGTGGCAAATAAACACATAAAAAGAGTCCCAGTACCTTAATCACTACAGAATTAAAGCAACCACTAAACAAACAACCATCAATATGGCTAAAGTAAAGGGTTCACAAAGACTGGTGACAATGACAATGGAAAATGCTCATAAACTATAGGTGGGCCTGTGAAATGTTGCAATTGCTTTGGAAATCATTTGGATGTTGCTTTAAAAATCAAACATAATATAACTTTGATATCCCTCTTATAAGTATTTGCCAAAGAAAAACAAAAGCACACATGCACAAAAAGACTTATACAGTTCATAACAGCTTTTTTTGGAATAGCCAAAAACTGAGAATTACCCAAATGCTTTTTAACATGTGAGCAGACAAATAAACTGCAGTATATTCACTCTGAAGGCTCTTAAATTTATATCTTCATTACTTCCAGAACAACGCATTTTGTGTGACACTTTCTAATAAGGAGAAATCTAAATAAGAAGGTCATTGCCTCCTTTGTTCAAAACCTAAAAGCCGGTATACTTACTGGCACCTGTAGTCCTTGTGTTTTCTTCTTTTTCTTTGATGGTTTGCTATCCTGCGAGAGCATTTTTGCTTTGATCCATGCTGATCCTACCTCTGAGGATCTTGAACAACCTGTAACAGAAATGGTGTACTTGAAAAATTTAAGGCAGTATGGGGGGCCGATTTCGTTTCACCCAAAGAGTCAAGAGAATAGAAAGAATGATAACAGTGCAGTCCAGAATCAAAGTTTGTTTTAACTGTAGTAAAATAAAGGATTTAAAACTGGATCTTTAAAATGTGTTTGCCTTACCTTTAATCTTATTGATCTTCATCAGTTTCTCCTTCTTGTGGAATCTAAAACCATAACTCCTAGTGAAGGGTCTGTCTCTGTGGAGGGGGTTGATCCAGAAGGATCTGCTGGGCTGCAGCCATGGTCGCACCATCTCTGACCAGTCACTACTCTGGGACAAGCTTATTGAGCTGTCAGACAGACATCTGCCTTGGACCCCCATGGGACACTGCACACTCTGAGTGCAGTCACTGTTACAAGAGGAAGGCAAGGAGGTCTGCCACTTGTTCTTGAAGCTAAACACACCAGTTTCGTCACCTTCAGAAAACGCCAAGTTCACATATCCATCTCCAGATCGCATGCTCCTTGCTTGGGAAGAAAGGGAAGTCACCTTTGCGGATGTTGGTGTGCAAGTCAGAGTGGACCCACCCTGCTCTACTTTGTCTTGCTCGTCTGGCATCTCAGCGACTGGCTCCTGCTGCTTTCGGGGTTCAGCCACCGATGCCCGGCCTGAGGCAGCTGGAGACTGCCTGGTCAGATCAAAAGGGACCCTGCTCTGCAGGATCTGTTCATTTGCTAGGACATCTGTGTCTGCTCCCACAGATATTTTGGACAGAGGCAAGGCAGTTTCTTCAGCAGAAGGAACCAAGAGAAACTGGCCATACTTTGAATTTGCGTGCCGATTAGCAGACACCCCAGAAGCAACTGTACTCTTTTCTGTGTCTTGCTCCTCCAAGTCAGCTCTTATATTTGAGGGCTCTCTCTGATTGTCCATAATCTCAAGAAGGGCTCCCCTCTGCACTCTTGAAGGAAACTGGCTTCTAGCCAGGCTCCGCAGCAAAGAAGGGGGCATGCTATAGTATCGGTATTTTGTCTCTCTGGAGATCCCTGTGCTGCCCAAGATCTCTGTACAAATGACATTGTTCCAGCTGTGGGGAATTTTCCTAGTAGCAGAACGTTTCCTGTTGGCCAAGCGTGCTTCATCCTCTTTCAAGGTGTCAACTGCAGAAAGAACCTTTAGAGTATCCACGGTCAAGGCAGAGAGGTCCTGCAGGTGTCCCACCTGGCTGTCCAAAGACAGTAGGGAATCCTTTATAAAAGATACCTTTTCGTTCATTTCTTTCAGTTGGAAATACATTTCTGCAACCCTAATGGTGAAGGTGGAGAAAAAAACCAATAAACACGTTAAGCCAGTGGCCGTTTTTCTTGCTCTCTCTCTACCCTGCTGCTAAGGTTAGGTGATTGCTAAGTCTTACTGCTTCCCAAAGTCTGTCTTCCACCTTCTCTCTGCACTACAGTACATATTCTCTTCCACACGATTGCATCTACTCTCATATTCCCACTGTGACTCCAGTGAGGGGAAATTACAAATGTGCATTGCTACCCCTTATTTCCTTCTAATATTTCAGACCCACATTTGCAGCTGCCTGCTACTAATCCCCCTTCAATTATTTGTTCCCCCTTCAATTATTTGTTCAATCATCCCATTTTTATTCACTAATGTGCTCGTTCATTTACATGACAAAAACCTGAGCACGTCCTATTAGCAAATGTTGTACAATTTTCATGGGAAAAAATACTCTGAGAAAGAAATCAAAATGATAGGGGGAACAACAACAAAAAGAAACCCAACCCCGTAGTTCAAACTGGCTTCTCAAGTTCCAAACAAAATCTGTACGAGGAGACATAGTCACAAAAAAAACCCAATATTAATTTTTTTAGATTATTTATATTTTAATCCAGGACTATGATGTCCAGACACTGATTCATACAAAAGCAACACAATATGTCTTCATTTATGGAATTACAAAAGTAAATTGCATATACATCAGGGTAATTGTAATAATTTCATTCAGAGAGAGTGAGAGAAAAGAAAATGCTGATTAATACTTATCTATAAATATCTCTTTAAAGATGAGTATTGTTTGGTGCCCCTAACACACCCTATCACTAAAATAAAATGTTGAAGTCTGAACCCCACATGTGACTTTTATTTGAAAATAGGATCTTTTTTTCATTTTTACCTTTATAAATATATGTTTCCAGTATAGAATACTCTCATCACAGGAATTTGATACACATATGAAACACATCTTAATTATTTTTATAACACCTTCCCTCTATCCCCCCCGCATCATCTCTTGGTGCCTGTTATGGTTTGTGTATGGATTTCCCCCCAAAGCCTCATGCAGTCACAGGAATGGGGGCTATTCAGAGGGGCCCAAATCTAGAGTTTGTGATTGATTCAGGGTATGAATATTACACCCATCTAGGGTGCATAGCATGCACATGATATAAGGGACAGAAATGCTCCTCCCCTTTTGCTCTTGTTGCTTTTACTGTCTTCCACTGCCATGAACTGTTGCCCTTGTGCCATGCCACCCTGCCTTGGAGCCAGGTAACTGTGAATTGAAACCTCCACAAACTGTGAGTTAAATATACCTTTCCCCCTTTACCTTTGGGTGTTAGGTATTTTGTCTGAGCAATGAGAAAAGTAAGCAAGACAGAAAGTAACTAAGACAATGCCCTTCCCATATGCAAAAGATACATCTCTCTGTTTCCCATTATCTATCTTTTATTTTGCTCTTTAATTTATTTATATTTTGGATTTCTCATATAAGAGAAACCACATAGGAGACCTAACTAAAGAGTTCCAAGTTAACACCAAAGTCTTTCCACTGTAAGCACCCACAAACAGCACAAAGCAAAGCAAAACAGACTTGCACTCTGACCACCTGGAGGTCACAGACACAGGCAGTCCATGATCACCACCACTGCAGCCCACGTCTGGCTCCTGTGCATGCCCTGAGCTGCCTGGAGACACGGAATCAGGTGGTCCACAAACTGTTGACCCTGCAATCCTTGTCTGGGTTCTGCCTGTGCCCTGATCTGCCTGGGGACACAAGACCACTTATCCATGATTGCACCAACAGTGTAGCCTGCTTCTGGGTCATATGCGTGCCCTGAGCTGCAAGGGGACACTGGATCAGACCATCTGCTATCGGGTGACATCAGAGCTTGCATCTGAGACCTGGGAGAACTAGGCACACTTCACCATCTTCCAGAAGACCCCAGACTAAGCAGCGCATCTCAGCACATACTGAGGGGTAAGCTTGGCCACCAGGAAAATCAGGGACACTAGCAACCTTTGCTGAGCTGCCAGGGAAGAGGGAGACTGAGTGTTCTGCCTCCAGCAACAAACATGACAAGACAAAGAACTAAAACGCAATCTCAGAACTCCACCCCACTCAGAACAAGCCTAGGAGACATTGACATAGGAGAACTTGGTAAACACACACCTGAAATTGCTGAAATGATTACAATGGAAGTAAAGAAAAAACTCCATCAGGCCATAGAAGAAATCAGATCAGAAATAATCTCTCAGGCAAAAAATGAAGTGACAATAATAATGAAAGAATTGCTCAGCACATCTAGAGAAGAAATAGATAAAAAAATAGATGAACACAGGCAATGGATGAAAACATTACATGAACAATATAGGAATGAACTAGAATGCATGAACTAGATTCAAAGAGACATCTAGGAAATCAAAGTTTCCATTAAAAGCTGGCAAAACTGCTTGAATGAAACCAAAGATAGAATTTCAGATCTTGAAGACAGCATGGCAGCTAGCAATCATGAAAGAAAGGATCTCTTAAAATCAGCAAGGAACCAGGAAAAATCAATTCAACAGCTGCAATATGAGGCAAAGAGGAATAATGTAAGACTAATAGAGTCAATGAAACAGCAGGATGTAACACACATGACATAAAAAAAATATTTGCAGAAATAAAAGCAGAAAGTTTCCCAAGCATGGAAACAATCTGACATATAGGTAAGTGAGGCATACAGAAAGCCAACTAGCCACAACCAAAATAAAACTACACCCAGACACATAATAATCAAGATCCCAGATCTCCAACAAAAGAACACAATATCAAAAGCTGCTAGAGTAAAGAAACAGATCACCAATAAAGGAAAGCCCATCAGAATAATGGCATACTTCTCAACACAAACCATCCCTTCAAGAAGAGCTTGGAGTGAAATATTACAGGTCCTGAGACAAAACAGCTTCCAACTAGACTGATGTATCCTACAAAACTATCCTTCAAATTCAGTGGAGAAATAAAATATTTCCACAACAAAGAACAACTAAAGAACTTCATGAGTGCCAAACCATCCTTATGACGAGTACTAAAAGATATTCTAGACAGAGAAAAAAAATGTCTGCAATTTCAAGAACAACAATAGAAAGGAACCCTCAAGCATAGCAAGCAAATAAACAGGTAGAAAAAGTAGGAAACCAACAGCAAGTACATAACATGACAATGATAAGCCAACATATCAGTTATAACCATAAATGTAAATGGCCTCAATTCACCAGTCAAAAGAAACAGACTGGCAGAGTGGATTAAGAAACAAAATCCAATGATATGTTGTATACAGGAAACACATTTTGCTCAAAAGGAAATCCATAGAGTGAAAGTTAAAGGGTGGAAAACAATTCTCCATGCAATAGGAACCCAGAAATAAGCAGGAGTAGCTATTATGTTTACGGACAATGTAAACTTCAAACAGACAACAATCAAAAGAGATAAAGAAGGTCACTACATACTTGCTAGGGGAAAATTGCAAGAGGAAGAGATAACAATCATAAACAT